GGCGATTTATTCTATATGCAACAGTTATTTAAAGTGATTCTGTTGTGCCAGCCGAAGAAGCATAGTCTTCACTAAGTACAACAAACCATTTTAATCACCGATGTGAAACGAATCAGTTGTATTCAGCTGACAATTTAGATATTAAAGTTTCGATCTGACGAGGCTATCTAAGAACATGACTGTTTTACATTAAAGTTTTCGAACAATGTAGGATTGAAATTGAACATTAAAAATTCTAATTAGTAGTCGGCACCCGCCTCGCATTTGAGCATCGGGATCGTCATCCTCCTTTCTCCTCTCTGATGGCGGTGGAGATGGCTGTGAAAAAAACCCAATCTACTTGTGAAGAGTCGTGAGCAGGAGTCACAGAGTGTGGGTGAGTATGTGGCAAACCTTCATGTTGACGGTTGGAATCGAAAATCTCGGATGTTCCTATGCCAGGAAGGTCGATCTCCAGCAACGGATTCCCAGGTCTCTCAGGGTCGATGTTGGCCTGTGTCGGGGAGGTTTTCAACTTATCCTTGAAGCGTGGCAAATTCTCCAGTCAGGATGATAGGTGGGAGCCGAGTGGGGCGCATTGTGGACACGTGACCTGGTATTGAATGATAGCAGGCGCGATGCTGGGGGATAGAATTTAATTACCTGTAAAAACTAAGATGTCAGAGCAATAACCAATCCTTTCCAATTGAAAAGGATGTGTTCGAGTCAAGCATACTTTCGTAAAGACTTCTAACTAGTGCGACTCGTTGAGAGACTCCAGATAAAAAAGATGTAAGATGTCAGTGCTAAATATCCCATAAACGTGTTCTTATTCAAAAACGTTACTTGTTCAAGATTGAAACTTAACTTGCTTATAGTTAAGTTTAAAAATTCGCACCGCTGTCAAACTTGTAATATTCGTTTTCTAAGGCGAAAGCAAATCTTTAAAAACTGAAATGCCACCCGGTTAAGTTACCTTCTGTGGTGGGCTCTTGATTTGGCCTTCATCACAATAGATAGGAAGGAGTAGATGTGACAGGTAACAAACTACAGAAAAACTCAAAATTTAAGTATTTCATTAATATCTAAGTTTATCTTTTAAAAGTTCAACGATAATTTTTCTGTCGTCACTTAATTTAAAAGAAATTTTGATGTACGTAGGTCCTTTCCGTACAAACAATTATTTTTATTTCATGGGTAACTTTCGCTGGATTTCACAATTTCGATTATTCCTAAATTTATTTCCAAAATTGTTATCGTAATAATAAAAAAAAAAAAAAAAAAAAAAAAAAAAACCCACGTAAAAATCGCGGAAAAACAATCGCAATAATGAAAACATGGAATCCACAATTTTAGGATTGTGATTCCGGTCCAGCCCGGAATGTTTTTAATTTTCTAACGGGGTCGGTCCGATTCCAAAATCGGTATATGTTGGGCTATGGCCCCGAGGAGTATAGTTGAAAAAAAATTGACACACCGACATTCGCATTTATTTATAAAGAAGTCATTCATTAGATACACTTTTTTTTTTCCATTTTATTTTATATTATTTTTTTTTTTTTATTTTATATTATTTTATATTATTTTATATTATTTCTATTTTATATTATTTTATATTATTTCTATTTTATATTATTTTATATTATTTCTATTTTATATTATTTTATATTATTTCTATTTTATATTATTTTATATTATTTCTATTTTATATTATTTTATATTATTTCTATTTTATATTATTTTTATATTATTTTTATATTTTATATTTTTTTTTTTTTTTATTTTATATTTTTTTATTTTATATTATTTTTTTTTTTTTTATTATTTTTTTTTTTTTATTTTTTTCTATTTTTATTTTTTTTCTTTTTATTTTTTCTATTTTTATTTTTTTTTATTTTATTTCTTATTACGGTATAAGCTAATGTAAAAGATAAAAATTATATAAAAAAATTGTCGCTTTTAGCGGTGCTGAAGACAACGAATACTTTAAACCGCAGTTTAGTTTCCCCACCCAGATGTTAAAATACATTTTACTTCATAAATCAGGCATAAAAATTCGTGTACTGTCTCTTTATGACGTCGGCGATTATGGCTCTTCACAACTTCCTATCGTTTGTATCTCTAAGTAATGTTTATCTGACTATACTTAGTAAATGTTCTGTCATCCATTGACAAACTCGTTTGGTAGGCTGCTCGCTGTTTTCTTCTGTCCATCTTGTAGTTCTGGTGTCAAATCACCATGCCTTCTTTCCTCGTGTGACTGAAATTTCATTTTTCTGACTTTAAATGCAAGTGTTATCTTTATTTCTATTTGCCTTAAAATGTTCTGTCCTTTATATTCTCCGCATCCTCCAGTAGAACCAGATTTGTTGCCTCTTCATCTGGGAGGAGGAGGAAGGCCCAGCATCTACTGCCATATAAAACGGATATTACGTAACCGTTGAGCAGTCTTTGTTCCTAACGAAATTTTAGTTTCTCTTAAGCTTTATCACTATGCGACTTCATTTGCTGTACAAAAAGTCGCTTCTGCCACTGACTGATCCCTGAACAATAGGGTTCGAGTTTTTTAGTTGTGTTGTCATATCCTGCTATGGCAACAGAAAACAACAGAGTGAAATTACCAAGGATACTGCAATTGCGAGGTCTTGAAAAAGAATGCAATGGAAAGGGAAGTATTAACAGAGCATAGTTTTAAAAAGCTAATAAATGTATCTTTCGCTATTCCAATGCCCCTTCAGATTACTACGTCACGTTTTCTGTTGTCTGTTATAACGCCCTACACCACAAGATAATCTTCCATATTTGCTAGTGTTTGACATTCGTAACTCGTCTTTTGGCCAATCTCTCTCGCTATCCACCGTACATTCTGTCTTCTCACAACTGAAGATTAATTAATCATCCCACTTTCCTTCATTATCTTGTCTATTAGTTCATTCGGTTTCCTTTCTATGTCCGCTATCGACACGGTGCCATCTGCCTATCTTATGGTTATAAATTATATTTTTGTGGAGCTCTCGTCCGGTTTCTTGCTTTCTAGTCAACGTTGATATTCAACAAATTTAAATGCAAAGTCAATAATTATTTTCTGTTTTCTTAATTCCTGTTCTTTTATTCTTCGCTCGCTCTCACGTTTTCTTTTACTAATCTTCTTTCACAATCCCTTTCCTTTGTTGCCTCGCTCGGGGTGGAGGGTGCGATGATATTAAAAGAAAAAGAATCTGGTAGATCTAGTTCGCTATGCACTACTTTGCTGTGTAGGTTGAATAAATCTGGCGAGAAGACACATCCTTGTCTTAAGCACATCTCTATTTTTGTTTACTTGTTTAATTTACGCATGCAGGCGGTTTGTTTCCGGTAAATATTTTTGACTTCCGGTAAATATTCTAACCTCGATATTTCCTAGCAGTTGAAATATTTCGTGCCGTGCCTTATCAAATACTTTTGAATAATCTATGAAAGATCTTCCAACATTTGTATTGTGAGCTCTGATCGCATTCTGATAAAATAGAATAATATATTGCGATGTCAAATTCCTTGTTATTGGCGATCTTAGTGAATCCCCTGTGTAACGATATCAATTATCTGTCTTCAATAGAGGGATACTGTTTAGAGTGCTGCTTTGGCTTGCTATCTACAAGGAAAAATATCTACACTGCAAATTTTAATTTGGAATTATGTCTATATAGTAAAATATAGCACACATAACAGAAAACGTAATTAAAAAGATTTTCTATTAATAATATTCTAGCGATAAGCAGCACGTAGATTGGCTTAAAAAAAAAAAAAAAAAAGCTTTTCTTGTAGAGATTTTCCAAGCGTAGCTTAGATGTAGCACAAGGCCGAAAGTATAGGGCACTCAGTGAGGATCGAACTCACTATTCAGTCGTAATTGTTCTAGCGAGATAAACTTGCTAACCATTACACCGCCCCCGAGGTGCCCAATAGCTTTTCTTGTAGACCACAATATAAAGCAGCACCCGATCTTAGCTCTCTTGGTCAGCAGTGTTTCTCAAACTTTTTTTTTTATTGCAACCCACAGCAAAAACCACATGTCACCCATTATAGTAAGGGGTCAAATGTCAAAAATGTGTAATAAATCCAAGACAAACTATGTTCATTTATTTAAAATCGACAATTTATGTAGATTTATGATCTGCACATTGGAATTGCAAGTATCTATTTTTTGAATATAAATTTATTTTAGAAAAACAAATTTAAAAAGGAAATTCCGACACAAATGTAAAGTAAATAATATTTGAAAAAAGTCATTTAATGAGACGGATGTTTTTTTTTTGTTTTTTTTTTTTTCCATAAGCAGTTAATTCCAATTGAGAACACTGGAAGACAATGCTACACGCACATCAGCTGCAGTGTTGAGTCGGTTTCTAGCGCTGATTTATGAGTGCTATCCAATATTTACACTTGTTTATATATTGCACTCACTCATGTATTTCTTCTTTTTTGTCGCAACCCATTTTATTTATCTTGCGACCCACTGAAATGACGGGACCCACAGTTTGAAAACCCCTGAAGGTTTTAAATGTCAAACTGACGCCATCTACTCAGAATTATATCACACATTCACATAAATCGGAAAATTTTTTTGAAAAATTTCTATTTAATTTTTATATTTTTTTTTTTACATTTTCAGTGTGAAAACACTGAAAATGTAAAAAAAAAAAATATAAAAATTAAATAGAAATGTGACATGCCATTTACAAATGGATTTTTTTTTTTTTTACTCGCCGTAAAGAAGTTATGCTACTGATGAAAAAACTAGCAATTGAAAGTGGTTTTTCATTACAAGAGGTGCTAAGCAAAAATTAATGACATTTTAACGGTTTTTCAATCATCTTATGCGATGTCTTCCTGATTTGTATTTCAAAATATCTCGAAAATCAATTAAGATTAAGAAAAAAAAGAAAAGAAAAAGAAATAGGGTAATCTTATTTACATAACATTTAGTTTGAAAAGAAAAATCGCAAATTAGATTCTGAATTTTTGGATAGCACTTCGTGAGTCTAGAACAAGTTATCGGTAGACTGACCTCGTCCAACTGGGTGAATCCTACCACAAGCAGCACCAACACTGGGATCTTTCTTCATCCGATCAAGAAGTTTCAAGACAGCTGCTGGTTTAAATTCGACATCTCCATCCAAAGTAAGAAGGTAAGTGTTTTCGGCAATTGTTTGCTTCAGTTGGCTCGGTCCATCGATCGACATTAAACGATAGCCAAGTATCCAGTACATGTACATAACCTAAAAAAAAAAAAAAAAAAAAAAAATCAAATTGTGTGTTTATTCCAAAACGAAGAGAAAATGAGAAAAAAGGTCCCTGGATCGAAGCTCTGAATACTCACGGATTTTGTTTTGCATTCTGTTTAATTTAAGCGGAAATGCTTTCTGGCAATTCCCTCCAGAACGGAGTTAATTAGTGCTAAAACATGTGATAGACGCCCACTTTATTTTCTTGAAAAGATCCTTTAGACGTCTGTGTGCCACATCTCTTCAGGACAAGTGATCCTGGCTCTCGTATTGGCTTTTAGCAGCATTTCTCCCCTTTGTTAAGCCACCTCACTCCGTTATTCGTCAGTCAAGTGGCTCGCTGCATCTCCCTCCCCCATCTCTTACATTCAATAAGCTCCGTGGGGTTAAGTTTTCCAAGCCCACCCTCCTCATTATGTGTCCAAAAAATTTCAGCTGTCTTTTCTGATCTAGTATAAGTGTTCTTTTTGCTGCTATTTTCCTTAAGGCTTCCTTGTTGCATACTCGATCAATAATGGAATTCTCAGTATCCTTCTGTAGAACCATATTTCTGCTGCCTCTAGTTTTTTCTTCACATCCGTGGGGAGATTGTGTAGCATTCACTGCCATATAAGACGATAGTTATCAAATAGCAATCCAGCCCTTTTTTCTTTCTAACGAAATTCTTTCTCAGCATCTTGATTTTGGATTTTTGTTTTCTAGTCCAGTATGTATTCGTATCAGTGCCGCATCTCCCACCCACTGTTAAAACGCTTCCCAGTTATTTGAACTTCTGCAAATGCTTGAGGTTTTTATCTCAAATTCGTAAATCGTATCTTACGCCTTTTCTTTTGCCGATGACCATAATTTGTCTTTATGCAATGAATGGTAAATCTTTTTTTTCTTGCTTTCTTCTACCAACCTGTCTACAAAGTCGAGTAGTTTCCTTTCAAAGTCGACCATCAGCAATGTCAATCGCGTATCTTATATTGTTAAGATTACACCCACTGATGATAAATCCTGGTAGAGGATTTAGTTCCTTTAGGATAGCATCACCGTAGAGGCTGAATAAGTCTGAGGAGAAGATGCGTCCTTGTCTCACGCACCTTCCTATTTTTGTATAGCTACTCAATTCATTATCTATGCAGGCAGTTTACTCCCAGTAGAAGTTCTGGATTATCATGACATCTTCCAAATAGAGTTTCCCTAACAGTTCAAATAGATCCTTGTGCTGTACCTAAGAACTGAATTGGTCATAAAATCTCTGACGTATAGAGGAAAGGTTACTATCATCGGCTAGAATATGTTTTACAGTTTATGCCTCTAGTCATTCCGTGCATAAAGGAGGATGTCAATTTTGTAGGAGAAATGAGAGAGTGATATAGGTGTCATATTCTAATTCACGATAGGACGACTTTTTCCTTCCAAGAAGGACCGAGACTACGATGCCACTCTCCTAGAATAGAGGCTTAATTTTGGAAAGTTTTTGAAAGGCAGTTCCATAACTCTTGCCCCTTGTTTATATTTGGTTTTAAACATGCTGAGTTCAATCCCTGGGCGCAGTAGTATAGACAGATTGAATAGGTGGAGAAAAAAAAAAGCCATATCCTTAGACAGCGGAACGAGAATAATCTTGAAGGTTACCCGGAGCAACAGACCGGAAGAAGGTCGGAGAGCACAACGGACGAAAACAACAAAAATGAGGATCATCGTAGAAATACAGATTAGTTCTACTTGTTGAATTATCAAAATGAGTTCGATTTGATGGTTGCCTTTTGTATTCTTTGAGATTAAAAATAGTTTAGAAAACATCCGGAAATACTCGCTACGGTGTTTACGACCGGAAATAAACACGTAAATTAGTGAATCGCTGCAATCGTCACATTTGGGTAAATGACAATTCACATCTCTGGACGATATTTCGAAGATAATTCGCCAAGACTTTAAAAAAACACGAAAGTTTTAAAGTGAAATTTAACAAAAACAATGAAAATGTCAGTAAAACATGAATATTTCTTTTTCACAGTCTCATTGTCTTTGAAGCATTCTATGCATCATCATTTTTGGCACAAAGTTGTCCATTTTTTTTTCTTTCTCTTCAAGCATGCAAATATGGGGAAACAAACAAGGAAGGAAGGAAAGAAAAAAGAAAAATAAACAACCCTACATGCAAGCCGATAGTGGCCCTCTGGCGGAGGACCTCTAGCGGTCCACCAGCTGTAACATTGTCGAAACGAACACGCCAGCGGTCCGATACCGGCATGTCACCCAGTGACAGATTAGTGACTTGGAAACACAAACAAGGCAGGAAAGAAAAGGAAACAAACAAGGTGGGAAAGAAAAGGAAACAAACAAGGCAGGAAAGAAAAGGAAACAAACAAGGCAGGAAAAAAAGGAAACAAACAAGGCAGGAAAGAAAAGGGAAACAAACAAGGCAGGAAAGAAAAGGAAACAAACAAGGCAGGAAAGAAAAGGAAACAAACAAGGCAGGAAGAAAAAGGAAACAAACAAGGCAGGAAAGAAAAAAGGAAACAAACAAGGCAGGAAAGAAAAGGAAACAAACAAGGCAGGAAAGAAAAGGAAACAAACAAGGCAGGAAAGAAAAGGAAACAAACAAGGCAGGAAAGAAAAGGAAACAAACAAGGCAGGAAAGAAAAGGAAACAAACAAGGCAGGAAAGAAAAAGGAAACAAACAAGGCAGGAAAGAAAGGAAACAAACAAGGCAGGAAAGAAAAGGAAACAAACAAGGCAGGAAAGAAAAGGAAACAAACAAGGCAGGAAAGAAAAGGAAACAAACAAGGCAGGAAAGAAAAGGAAACAAACAAGGCAGGAAAGAAAAGGAAACAAACAAGGCAGGAAAGAAAAGGAAAAAAACAAGGCAGGAAACAAAAAGGAAACAAACAAGGCAGGAAAAGAAAAGAAACAAACAAGGCAAAAAAAAGGAAAAAGGAAACAAACAAGGCAGGAAAGAAAAGGAAACAAACAAGGCAGGAAAAGAAAAAGAAAACAAACAAGGCAGGAAAGAAAAGGAAACAAACAAGGCAGGAAAGAAAAGGAAACAAACAAGGCAGGAAAGAAAAGGAAACAAACAAGGCAGGAAAGAAAAGGAAACAAACTATTGCCTAATTCAATTTTTTTTATATTTATAACCAGCGAGCGATTAAAAATAACGATTTTGTGGACACTATACATTAACGACTTCATTGCCTGAAATGCGTAATGTATATACGACTTCCCAAAAGGAGAAGAAATTGAAATTTCACAGGACAGTAAAAGGATAAAGTGTTAAATTTAAAAGGAGAGATTGATTTAGCTGGTGTTTAATATTTAATTGACCTTTAGAAACTTTGATACCACTATACTAGACAGCAATCATACTTTGAAGAAAGGAAATACATTAGTAAATATCGATGATATTACAACATTGACCCAAATTTATAGACCGATAAGCCAATACTCAATGAACAGCGTCTACTTCATTGCAGCATCTGCACATGTCAAAGCCGGAAATAGATAAAGCAGGTAATCCAGTGAAAGGAGACTTTTATTAATGCCAAAATTATGGCAAAACTACCGCTACAGGAAACATCAGTTTCGAAATCACACGCTAAAATATATTCATTACTTTAATCAAATACAGTAAAATATCCTGTGCATATATTTTACAGGGAGATTATCTGATTAAATAGAATATTGCAAGTGAAGGTAAGATTTTGTGCATGTGTATAGAATTTCCTGTTCAACGTACGAGCTTTGAAGATTCTCGACCTGACCAAAAAGGAATAATATTCGGATGTTTGGTCAGATATTGGGGGGGGGAATTATGTTGGGCTGATAACTATTCAAGACCCACTATATTACTGTACGAAAAGAAAATGTCTTATTTTATTGTAGCTTAAATTAGTACAGGAAATACATTTACCTGCGTAAAAAACAAATCCCGAAAGAATTTCTCATCCATCATCACAAAACAGCTGTCATGAAATTATAACTACAGGGATGCAATAACATTAAAATGCGAAGAAAATTAACGATCCTGTAATTCACGATTACATTTTTCAATTTCACATGTTTAGAATGGATACAATTTTAAGACAGTAAAAGGTGTCATTATTTTATCTAATGCAGATAAAATTTCTGATATTATAGGGTACAAAAAATACCTCTAGGAAGAATGTATTAAACACTAAACAAGAAAATATGCTTTGCGATATACGTTTTAGATAATATATCCGGGTAATTAAATGACGGAAATGGAAAAACCCATACAACGTGTTTCGTCCTTAAAATACTAATTAATCATCTGTAAGTGAATTCAACGAAAATATAAAAAGGTGGGTTATAATTACAACACCGAAAGTGTAGGGACGTATATATGTTAAAAATCGCTACACGACTACAATCCTGTTTCAATACCACAAATGTGTCTCCTCAGGTGATAAACCACTGGCGAGCGAAAGATTAAATTTCAAAAGCAGAATACTTTATAAAATAAATAAGTAAATAAAGTAAATATGCTTATGGGCTTTGTCGTTATTAACCAATCAAATGTGACCTACGCTAAATTCAAGCCAATCGAGGAAAACAAAAAACAAAAACAAAATAAATCAGACAATTTCCTTATGGACAGATACAATTTCTTCCATTATTTCGTAAGATGTATTCTGATCAACTGTTGTATAATACCAGGGTGTCTGTATTGCCATGTCGCGCATGGAAAGGTGTCCCTGCAGTCACCTCCGGTGGGCAACCCTGAGACCACATTATAATGCAGGCTGTGCCAACTCCCCTCTGCCCACGTCACGATCGATAACCGTCTGCTTCTTTTACTTCGGGTCTTCTCATCTTCCAGCCATTATTCCACATGATTAACAAAGATCAAAAAAGTAAACGTAAACCAGCCCTTCAAAAAAAAAAAAAAAAAAAAATCACCTAAACCCTTTAACATTTCATTCTCCAACATCTGTGGTATTAGAACCAATTTCTGCAGTGTGGAATCTTTCCTCACTGCAAACTGCCCGGATATTCTGGCTGTGTGTGAGACCAACTTTGACTTGTCTATCCCCTCCACTGATCTCTCGATCCCCGGCTACCTCCCTCTCCCTAGAAAGGACTCAAACCCACATGCATGGCCTTGGTGTTTACGTCAAGGACCATCTCCTACTGGCTAGAGAGTTGTCTCTCGAATCGCCAGACTATTCGTCCAGGTGTCTCCGGCTGTCTCTTCCTTTATTGCTATCCATCCTCAAGACTGGAATAATCGATAGCATTTCTGACAGCATAGACAAGGCTCTCTCTCTCCATCCGTTTGCTTACATATTAGTGTTTGGCGATTTTAACGCCCATCATAAGTGGCTTAAGAATGCAACTACTGACCTTGCAGGCATTCAAACACTTAATTTTTCAGTTTCTCAATCCCCCACGCAGATAGTTGACTTCCCCATGCGTTTTGCCTACAACCGGGACGGCAAGGCCTCTATTCTCGATCTATGTTTTACCTCCATACCCGAGCCTTGTGGCGCCACGCAGCTCTGCCATCTTGCTAACTCCAATCAGGCTGTAGTGTGTCAACATCTCCAACTCCACCCGCTGCAAAAAACCTCCTACAACTAGAACCTATCAACGAGCAAACTGGAACTCGTTCTGTTATTTCCTCCGCGATGTCCCCTGCGATGTCTTTACGCTCCCCGTGCATGAGTGTGCTTCTGAGGTCTCCGCCTGGGTTAAAGCTGGAATCGAAGCTTTCATCCTCACAAGCAAATATATGGTCAATTCGATCTCCTCCACTTGGTTCTCCGCTGCTTGCTCAGCCGCCATTGCCCATAGGAACCACTTCTTCCACCTATATCGTAGCGACATGTCCGACTGCAATAGACGTCTCTTTGCCCGTAACGAGTGTAAGCGTGTCCTCAACGAAGCTAAGTCACTATTTGCTGATCGAATGAAGGAATGTATTGCAACTCGCAAATTCGGCTCCAAGGAGTATTGGCGTCTCTGCAAGGGCGTACTTAAACCCTCTAGACCCCCTTTGTTCAACCAGTTTGAGGTTGACAAGGCTGAATGCTTTGCTCGGAAATTTTCATTCAATTCAACGCTCGACTCTTCCGGTGTACCCATACCCGATTTCCCTCTTAGAACTGAGGCCCTATTGAGCGGGTTGCAAATAACCCCGTCATTACTATCGGGCATTATCTCTAATTTAGATCCTCACAAGGCTAGTAGTGGGGATGTGATACCAACCATTGTCTTAAAGAAATGTGCGCCTGAACTGGCGCCCACCCTCTCCAAATTATATAACTACTGCCTCAAGGAATCTTGCTTTCAAGACTGTTGAAAGTCCTCATCGATTGTTCCTGTCTTTAAGAACTCTGGTGACCCCTCTAATTACCGTCCTATCAGTCTCCCACCTCTCTTCGGCAAAGTCATTGAAGCTTTAATCAACGCCGAAGTGTTTAACCACCTTACAGCTCATGATCTGCTCTCAGACAAGCAATATGGTTTCCGCTTTGCCCGATCTACAGCTGATGTGCTTACGGCCATCACTGAAATTGTCTACCAAGCTCTTTAAAATAACGGAGAAGCTCGTGCCGTGGCTCTAGATATCTCCAAAGCGTTTGATGGGGTTTGGCATGCCAGCCTTCTTCGCAAGATCCAGGGTTACGGTATTACAGGTCGATTGTTTGATTTAATACAATAATTCCTGTCAAACCGTGAATTGAAGGTCGTTCTCAACGGATTCTCCTCCAGCTCCTATCCCACGAACGCAGGTGTTCTCCAAGGCTCCATCCTAGGCCCTACAATTTACTCCTGCCTCAAAAACAAATCTAGTGTCGCTGACAAAACTAACCTGGCCGTTCGTCTCGAAAAGGACCTACAATCGGTTGTGAACTGGGGCAGGAATTGGTTGGTTAACTTTAACGCCTCAAAAACAAAACGGCTCTATTAATCACCACAGAGATCCTTCCCTGCCCAACCCCCATTAAAATGTCTGACGCTCAACCTCTCGAGAGCACCTCTGCGGCTGCTCGGTCTCACATTGTCTGCTGACCTGAGATGGAACAAATACATAGAGTCAATTGCTTCATCCACCGAAAGGAAAGTTGGCTCCCTGTGTCGCGCCAGGAAATTTTTATCCCAAGAATCGATCCTTCAAATCTACAAATCAAACATTCGCCCCCTGCATGGAGTATTGCTGCCATGTATGGTCTGGTGCACCTTCTGTTTGTCTCAAGGACCTTGATAAAATCCAGAGACGGATATGCAATGTAATTAGCCCTGATCTGGCATCTCGTCTGCAGTCGCTCTCACAAACGTGCTGTTGCCTCGGTCTTTTTGCAAATACTTTCATGGTAATTGCTGAGATGAGCTGCTTTCTCTGGTTCCTAGACTCCATGAATTTAAGCGTCCTACGAAGCTGGCATCCCGCTCTCACCCTTGCACTGTTGAAACTGTTAAATATAACAGTCTTCTCCTCCAATAGATTCATATCTCGCATCTCTCCCCTGTGGAACTCCCTTCCCTTTTCCTGATACCTATAATCTAACTATTCAAATGTAATGCCAATCGACATCTCCAGTTGGCTTGATCTATCCACTATCCTTCTCTTCATCATTTCTCCTATCACTCCTATTTGCTCTCGCTCCAACTCTGTAACACCTTGCGTGATAGTGGCTTCCCGCCTTGCTTGGGGTGAAAAAAATGCTAACTAGTTATATGCTCGTTCATCTTCTTACAATTAAATTTTATAGTTGTTAAATGAAAGACCCCTTTAAGAAACTGGTAAATAACTTAATCGTTTGAATAAAAAAAAAAAAAAAAAAAGATAAAAACATACAAAACTACTTTAAACAAATATGCAACCGTTAAATAAAAAGCATCCATGTAAGATGTTAACAAGACCCACGAATCAAACTAAGTCGTTAATAATAATAATTAAACACTTGTACATCCATATAAGGTGTTAATACTATTAACCAAACATCAATACAAAAGCAATATTAAAATCAAAATGACGCTTACAAATAAAATAGTAAGGCATATAAATGTGTACCACAGTTCATCTGATTATTACAATAAGAAAAAGTATCAAATTCAAAGTTTAAACATTGTATGGCATAAGGTAGGGCTATGCCTACAATTTACACTCAATTCGCTTTGGTTAATGAAGAATTTATCAGAAAATCTTAATTTCT